TTACCCTTTTAAAAAACATATTAAAATTAGTTATTTTATATAGTTATTTTATTATATTTATATTGTAATTAATATTTGAATTAATTTTAAAAAACAATTTAAAATTTTCTATTATAATATAAAGTAATTTATTAAAATTAGTTATTTTATGTAGTTATTTTATTATATTTATATTGTAATTAATATTTGAATTAATATTAAAAAACAATTTAAAATTTTCTATTATAATATAAAGTAATTTATTAAATATTTTTAAAGATTTTATTAAGGGGTAAGCTATACTACATTTAATCCATAATAATTTGCGTCTAACTGATCACTTTATGATTACTTTTTCATCAAACAATCAATCATTGTGGCATTGACTTTATTATCGATATGCAATATTCATCAAGTAATTACCTAAATCTACAATACTGATAAATGATTAAAAATAACAATTTCGGTGGTTTTTTTCATTGAAGTTAATGGCATTCCCATTTACTGCTACGAGTGACATTAACTCTGATAAAAGATGTTTTTTGCCGTGTATTGGTGTTTTCACCTCTACAGTAAATAGTCATAGATTATTTTAGTTGATCATTGCATTACATTATGCAAAGCATAATGTCGCATAATGTAGACAATTTAAAATTTAAAAGTGCACATAGTAATTATTATCTAATTTTAATGCACAAAAATTAATATTATATTTAATATTATTTGAGTGTCGCTGTCATTGATATGAACTAAGTTCGAAAATTAGTTTTTATGTAAATGCATCGAGCATAATTATTAGTACATTGATATGAACTAAGTTCGGAAATCAGTTTCATGTAAATGATCCGAACAGTGTTTAAACGGGTTTTTAAGCACAAATTAACCGGTCGGAGCAGGATAACATTCCTATTATAGATATAAGCATTAAAAATAAATCAAATATAAAGTTTAAATTATTTTTGAATATTTAATATACAAAATATGTATTTCTTAAATATTTTTAAATAAGTATAAAGCAAAAAAGACTTGCAAAAATATAAGTGTAAATAATCCAGTAGTTATTAAAAAATAAAATGAAAAGATAAAGAGTTTCAAAAAAAAAATTCAAGGTGGTTATAATGAAAGATAAAAATCATTATAACTGACAAAATTTACAACCCGCATGTTTTAATACATAGATTTAAGTTGCTCAATCTATAATATTCAAGAATCAGGTAGAACAATTAGAATTAGTGCAATTGACCAATTAATAATGCCATATAAAAATAATTAGCCTTCATATTTTCTTTAAAATTAACTAAATAATTCAGACAAGATTTTCTAGATAAAAAAAAGCTAAAATAATTTATTTTAATTAAATGTGGAATGCGATAATCTCTGAGTTGACTTTTGAATTTCAGCAATATTTTTTTCTAATTCAATTAAAGATCGGTTATCAACAAACCGGGCAAGGTAATTTTTTTCTTTCATACTATTTAAAATCTCATAGGCACCTTCACAAATTTTATCGTTTTCTTCTTTGTAAAGGAACTTTCTTTGTTCTAACAAGTCTTTCAGTTTATAAGAATAATAGGGTGCGGGACAGAAAGGATTGCTTATATAACTAAAATCTTGGAAATTCTTTTGAGTATTAAGTATTTGAGTTAATGCAATTCTTGCTTTTGACAAATACTGTTCTAATTTTTTATAATCTGATAATTTTTCTTGTAGTTCTTTAGTTTCCCTGTGGAGATAAGCACTAGTGCCTCTTCCGCCATGAAGAATATTAATAATCTTTGCTTTATTCTCTTTTATTTTTGAAATTAGATTCTTCTTTAATTT